CTGCGTGGCAGCCTCAGCCATCGGCCCCCAGCCCTCCCCACCTGCCACCTTGTCTCTACCCCTCGACCTCACTGTTCTGCCACTACTGACCTCAGGCCCCCTCCCCTGCAGGCTGTCCTGGAATCTGCTCGGGGATGAGGCGGCTGCGGAGCTGGCCCAGGTCCTGCCACAGATGAGCCGGCTGAAGAGAATGGAGTATGAGGGGCACATCCTGGGAAACCAGAACTGGGGGAGGACGTGAAGGGGGACCTCCCATCCTTGGGGAAAGCCAAGAGGCCACTGGGTCAGGCCCCTGCCTGCCAGAGAGCCCTCACTGAGTTACACATTCTGGTCCAAGCCCCTGCCAACCTTAGCTCTCCCTGGGTCCCAGCCTTCAGCCTTCCTGGGTTGTCTGCTGGGTTCTGTAAGCATCTTGGCCTGGGGGCAGGGCATATAGGGGAGCCCATCCCCCACACTCATGCCAGTTTCTCTTTCCCCTTTCTCTGCTGTCTGTTGGGAAGCCTGGAGAAGAACCAGATCACAGCTTGTGGAGCCTGGCTTCTGGTCGAAGGGCTGGCACAAGGGTCTGGCATCCAAGTCATTCGGTAAAAGGGGCTCAGAGGAGCAGGGATGATGGGTGGGAGGGGACTCCCTGTAGGAGAGACAAGACCTGGCTTGGGGATTATCAGAGGAGACCTGAATCTCTCCACCAAGAATCTGACAGCATGCAGACCTGGATCAAATCCCAGCTCTGCCATTTGCCAGTTATGGAACTTTATGTCAGTAACTCGATCTCTCTTGACCTCAATTTCCTCCTCTGTAAAGTGGGCTCAACGATAGTGTCTACCTCAGAAAGTTGCTGTGAGGACTAAACGATTATATAAAGCACTGAGCCCAATGCCTAGCACATAGTAAGCACTTAAAAATGGTATAATCAGAGCTACCACATACAGCCGTATAGGTTGTGCACTGCACAAGGTCATTGCCTCTACGGGACATCATTCACATAGTAGATATGCTGGAGTTCTAATAAATGTAGTGAAGTGGCTTGTTTAAGAGAAATCAATATTTCATGACAATTTCAAATGATGGAAGTAGAGTGTCGGGAAGAAGGGGAGCGTTTTCCTTATTTGCACAAACATGTCATATGAGCACGGTCCTGGCTGGGATCACGAGCTCCTAGGGATGAAGACTGAGTGGGAGAAGTCAGGAGCTGGGTGTGGAGGACACCATCCCCCTAGGGGAGCCATGCTGGTCTAAGCTGCCTCTGCCAGGTAGCTCTGGGCATGCATGGCTCTTCCCCTCTTGGGCCTGGGTCTCTGCATCTGTAGATGGGACAAGGGATGGAGACAAGAGGATGAGCAAGCCACTCCCAGAGCTGAGTGCCTGTCTCTGTGCCCTGCAGCCTCTGGAACAACCCCATCTCCCCCGACATGGCCCAGCGTCTGCAGAGCCAGGAGCCCAGGCTGGACTTCGCTTTCTTCGACAAGCAGCCCCAACCCCCTCGGGGTAGTTGATGGCCCCCCTCGAGATCCTTCGAATTCAGCCAAGTGAAGCCAACTTCCGCTCACCAGGACAGAGGGCTCAGGAAAAGAGCCTCAGCTGGGTGCCCCTGCGTGCTGCCCCAAGAAGGAGGGGCCTATTTGTCCTGCCAAGGTCTTCAGGAAGGGACTAGGAGCCTCATATGGCCAAAAGACTATCCTGTATTGCATGTGACAGGTGTGCCCAGTTGGGGACATGTCACACAATGAAAGTGTCATGATGTGATATGTGACACAGGAGGTCACACACGGCAGAATTCTATGTGACGTTCTGTGGAACTTTCGGCGTGGCCTGGGGGTCAGTGGCATGGGTCCTGGCACCACACCGTGGCAGGGCATATGATCTGTGGTTCACAGAGGACATGTGACAGATGCTCATATCATACAACATGTGGCTGGCCAGATACCCTCAGGCTGGTATAAAATCTAATTTATTACTTTTTAAAGCCAAGTAAGTATTTATACGTTGCATTTTCAGAGCAGCATGGCCAGGGAGTGTTCTCCATCCAGAAATGGGATAGGGAGAGTATCCAAGCACTGACTAACCCAGTGGCCTGAGGGCCAAGCCAGGACTCAGCCACGAGGCTTTTGGATGAGTCCTGTCTTGCCTCAAGCCTCAGTTTTCCCATTTGTAAGTGGGATGGCTCCCTCCTCTTAAACCCGAGCTTCCAAAGACGTTGGGCCCAGATCTAGGTATGGTCCTCGGGAATGGACGGGCCCAGTCTGACCTGTGTCACGGAAAAAGCCAGGTCTAAGGGTGTGGAGGTAGGCACTCCCAAGATAATCAGGGAAGGCCACTGGGTCTAGACACTACCTCAGCAGGATCCGGGTGAGCTCCCAGCAGGGGCTGCATGTGCTACCTGATGTTCTTGTTATTTCCAAAAAGGCCCGAGGATGGCCCTGCCACACTTGAAGCCAAATGTGACCAATAAATGTGGATGGTATCCCAGCCTCTACCCCGAGTCTGACGTGTCTTGCTAACTCACTAAGGTCAGGAGTGTTTCACCCCCTGCCCCAGAGCCTGGAGAGCAGGACAGACCACAGAGAGATGACCTGAGAGGAACACTGGCCTGGGGGTCAGGAGACATGGGGTCAAGTCCAGACCCTGTCTCTGCATGGTCACAGGCTCGTGGACAAGTTGCCTCCCCACTCCGGAGTCAGTGGCACCATGAGGGTATTACAGAAGCTTAAAGTGTTAGAAACATTCTTTGTTTGACTTGCATGATATTGAAACTCTTTTCTGAATCAGTCGTCAGTATTTAAAAGTGAGAGCTTTTACATGAAAATCCAGATTTTCAGCTTTCGTTAGGTGTTAGGGAATCGGGGAATCTGTGGAGTCGTCTGACCGTGCTCTTTAGATGTGGCACACATCTCCGTTTGCCACAGTCCCCACCACTCCCTAACGTACCCCCCTCCCTTTTGCTGCTTGCCTGGTCCTTGTGAAGGCCTGGAAATCTCCTGACCTGGAGGGGGCCACTGGTGGGTGGTACATAAAAAACATGGCTTGGGAAGTCAGATGGGCATGAAGTGGACTGTGACTTGACTCCTTGCTGCCTGTCTTCGAAGACAGAAACTACTTCTGGACATGGGTTAGGAATGTCCCTTGGCCCCCAGGACCTTCGGAGGTGTCCAGGAAGCACAGTATACAAAGTCCCTAGTGGGCAGCAGGTACCGGTTCCATGCTAGTTCCCTTCCCCTTTCAGGGTTGAATATCATATGAGGTGAAGAGATGCTTGAAATGGCAGGAGAACAGCACCCACTGCCTGTCACCCGCCTGTGGACTGAACAAGTAGATCCCTGGCCAAGCTTTCTTCCAGAGCCACACCCCATTGTGAAAAGCAGGCAGGCAGGGTGCAGTTCTGGCCTACCACCACTAGAGGGCAGGTTGCCCCACTGGTGATTCCTGAGATGGCTTCCTTGGCCATTGGGCCCAGAATGAGGTTAAGAGGTGATGCTAGGAGCTGTTCCCACCTGGCCCAGGAGCCTGGGATGTCCTGCCTGCTGGTGGCTTACCTGGATGGCTCAGCCCTGACCTTTGCTGCCCTCCACATTGTCCCCAGTCCCCCGGCAAGCACGAGGAGAGGAGAAAGTCCTCCGGCCAAGTGCCAAGCACCCACACCCCGCAGGAGGACACTCTTATCAGGCCCAGGTCAGGGCACACCTGGCACCAAATGGTGTCATCCGCCTGGTTGTGGGGGAGGGGAGAGGCAGGCAGAGGTTCTAACAAGTGTTCCCGGAAAACTCGAGCCCCAGATTCTGTCTTGCCTCCCCAGGAAATAATGCCGAGGTGACCATGGGCCCTCGGGGTGCACCTTCCTACCGAGGGGGCCCTGTGCTGTCTTGTCTCTTTATCCAGCGCTGGAGTATGAGTCCCTCCAAGCCCGAAGATGACTTGCCCAAGGAAGTCATGGCTGAGGAAGGAACAGAGCACCAAGCAGAAGCCCTAGGCCAGGTGAAATGCACACCGGGAGAGCCTCAAGCTCAGGGACACTCTCCATTTGCTGTTTGTTCGTTTTACTTGTTCCTCTTTCTTTCCCCTTCTGCTCTGCCCAGGTTCTAAAGCCCAAGAAACTTTCAGCAGCTGCCTTGAGATAAACGGTTTCTTCAGCACTGCAGAGCCGGCTGGGCCCACTCACCTTGCTCATTTTATTCATCTTCCTCTTTTGCCACCTGCTTGCTGGGAGGCCTGGACTGTTTCTCCCCAACACAGATGAGGTCCAGTGTCCCCGCCCCCTTCCTCTGAACAGTAAGCTGTTTAAATATCTACATGAAACAAACGCAATTCAAAGAAAAAAGTAAGGCTGTGGCCAAGTGAGCAGTGTAATGAAAATGGCATTCCCAGGTTCTGGACAAGAGTCTTCTCCCCGGGAATGTGATTGGGCCAGTAAGTGCCCATGTCCGTCTGCAAGGCTGGGAGAAGCTCATTTTGCTACTTTGTCACTTGGCCTCTGTCCTTTATGATGGGAGTCACAGTCTCCCTGCTTGTCCCCACAGGCCTCAAATCCTCCCAGATTGCCCCTTCCATCTTGTCCCCAAACACACCCATCTGAAATCCACTGCCCAGGCTGATACTTCTTGAACTATAAAATCACAGTTATGGAAACTGTCACATGCATGCAATCATCCGGGCATCTTGTTAACACGCAGATGCAGGTTCAGCAGGTGTCGGGCAGGGCCTAGGATTCTGCATTTCTAAGAAGCCCCCCCCCCCAACTCCCCAGCCCGCCCAAGTGATAGCTGTCCTGCTGGACCACACTTAGCGTGGCAAGGCTGTTGACCAGGGAGTGGGGCTCACCCCTGCCTGCAGGTTAGAATCACCCGGGGAGCTTTTTCAAACGCCTTTTTAAAAACCAGAGTATTTTGAACCGCCCCCGCCCCAGGCAAAGCGGATGTGCAGCCATAGGTGGAGACTCACAGGCGTGGAATGTGAGGCCTCTTGAGAAAGCTCGGGAAGGCTCGACCCCGTCCCCTTCTTTTGTCCCGAGGCTCCTGGTGACCCTCTCTTTCCAGAGGAGGACACTGAGACCCAGAGATTTTTCCTGACTTCTCTGAAGGCACATAGCTAGTAAGGGCTCGCACCAGGAAGCAAGCCTGTGTTTCATGACTTTTTATGTTCGCTCATTTTTCTCTCCAGTTTCAGCGAGATTTACCTGACATACTGCGCTGTAGGCGTTCGAGTGTACAGGCTAAGGACTCGACTCGCGTATATCGTGAAATGATGGCCACAGTAAGTTAATTAACATCCAGGATCTCCTAGAGTTACCAAAAAAAAAAAAAAAAAAGTGAGAAAGAAAAAAACCGGTTTTTACCTTGAGAAAACTCTTAGGATCTACTCTCGTAACTTTGCGACTCAGTCCCACAGGGGAAGACCCAGTTTTCTCATCTGTACAGTGAGGGGATGAGCAAACTGAAACAAGGCACAAGGACCCATTTTTATCAGTGCTGCAAAGGTGACCTTCTGGTTAATACTCCCTCGGGGAGGGTTTTGAATCCTCTGTCACCTGCCTTGCCTGGTTATTGTTCTGTAGGGCTTCCACCATCCGTGACCTGCTGCAGACCCATAGCCATCATCGGAGCAAGAGTCTACTCCTGTTTTTACAAAGGAGAAAACCGAGGCCCAGAGAGGAAGAAGACTTGCCAAGGTCACACAGCCGGTATTCCGTGGAGCTGCAATTCCAGTCATGGAACGGGAAGAGAGTTGAGGTGGTCCTGGCTGGGGGTTTAACTGGTCTGCAGGTCTGTGTGTTCTTCAGAGAGCCCCCCACCCAAGTCTGGAGGGCTGTGCATTCTACCTAGAGCTGCTCTTGCCCCCAACCCCCCTGCAAAGGCCAAGACCAGGCCAGAGGGCAGTGGCCCCACCCCAGCCGGAGCTGGACACACCCTCTGGACACATCCCTGAGCTTCCAGGAAAAGACCTTGCACAGCTGCTTTGGTAAAGATCCTCCCTGGGCTGGGCTCAGGAAGTTCTGGGGACAACTGGTCTGCCTCCCAGGCCCGGCAACCTCCCCAGCCAGTGAAGCACCCCGCCCCCAGCCCAAGTGACTTCCAGCCTCTAGAACTGGAGTCCTCCCTGGCCCTGGCCCTGGGAAACTGTACCTTGTGGCTCATCCCACACAAATTCCAGCCCTGCCCTGGCTGCCCAGAAAGTGACCTTTGCCCTGAGGAGGAGGCAACAGAAAAGGTGCTTTCACTAGAGAACAAAGGCCAACCGGGGTCCCCACCCCCCTCCGCGAATATTTCAGCGCAAGGTTGGGGCAGATGGAGGTGTCTGGGGCTGACTGGAAGGGCAGGGGGTGCCTGGGCATCCTGACCCTAGAAGGGGGCATCCCTGCATTACAGCGACCACAACTCTGGAACTTAAAGATAGTCCCGGTGTCTAGGCATGCTTGGTACTATTCCAACCACATAAGGGTCTCGCTGAATTCCCACAAGCATCCCAAGAAGGAGATACTAAATCTATCCTTCCATTTTACTGAGGAGGAGACTGAGGCCCAGAGGATTGAGTGATCTCACCCAGGCAGTAACTAGAGTGACTGGGATTCAAACCCAGAGCTACGACTCCATGCCTCAAATCTGGAGATTCTTGAGGGGATGTCTCCATCACGGATATATCTCCATATCAACTCCCTGTGGCAGACGGTATTCTCTGAAGATGGCCACCACCATATCTCCCATGACAGTGACAGTCCTCTCACTGAGGGGCGGGCCCATGAGCGAGCTGGTAACTACAGCAGAAGTGACGGATTATGACTTCCAAGGCTAAGGTTCTATAAAAGATAACAAGACTTCCACCTGGTTCTCTTGGGATGCTGCTCACTCTTGGGAACCAGCTGCCATATTCTGAGGAAGCCCAGGCCACCTGAATGGTCATGGATAGGTGTTCAGTGGACAACTCCAGCTGAGGTCCCAGCTGACAGTCAGCATCAACGGCCAGACGTAGGCCTTCTAGAGAACTCCAGCCTCTGTCAGGGTTTGACTGCAACTGTTTGAGAAATCCTAAACAGGAACCACCCCAGCTGAGCTCAGGTGATCGCCCCCCGCCCCAGAGCCTTGAGAGATAGATAATAAGATTTGGGGTGATTTGTGGGATGCAGCATCAATAACCAGGACACTCTCCATCCTCAACCCCCTCACGCATGCCTGAGGCCAGCCAGGGCCTGGTACACCACACTCTTTTGGAGTGTCTTTAATTCACAAGCACACTGAAGTGTATAGGCAACCCTGGTTATTCTCATCTGTCTGTCCAGACAGCCTGAACTGTGGACATAAACACCCAGACAGCAGGTGCTTTATACACACACACACACACACACACACACAATATAGACCTATTTCAGGAAATCGAGGCCTTCTGGTTTTGCAGAGAGACCTCTACCAGGGCGAGGAAAGACTCCCTTCAACATTTTGCTGTAACAGCCTTGCATTGTGTGTGGATCAAGGACAGAGTGTAGAATCAACACATGATGGACACTTGGCCTTCATCAATTGACCTCTGGCCTCTCCTGATCCCTGACTTCGTTTTAGACAGCTTTCTTGAGATATAATATTCACCCCTTTAAAGTATACAAGTCAATGGGCTGAGTGTACCTACAGTCCGCAACCACCACTATCATCTACTTTCAGGACATTTTTAATCATCTCTCAAGAAACCCCATATTTTTTTCAAAGATTTTATTTTTGCGAGAAAGAGAGAGCACATGAGCAGGGGGGAGGGCAGAGGGAGAAGCAGACTCCCCACTGAGCAGGGAGCCCGATGTGGGGCTCCATCCCAGGACCCTGGGATCATGACCTGAGCCGAAGGCAGACGCTTAACAGACTGAGCCCCCCAGGTGCTCAAAACCCCACATTAATAGCAATCACTCCCCAATCTCTCCTCCCAGGCCAAGAGAGCCACTAAGCTGCCTTCTGTGTCTGTGGACTTGTCTACTGTGGACATTTCATAGAAATGGAATCAGACAATATGTGGTCTTTTGTGACTGGCTCCTTTCACTTAGCATCATGGTTTCAAAGTTTGTCCAGATCGTATGCACGCCACACCTTTCCATGACTGAATAATATTCCATGGTATGGATAGACCACATTTTGTTTATCCATTCATCGCTTAATGGGCATTTGAGTTGTCCCCACTTTTTGGCTATTCTGAACCGCGCTGCAATGAACAAACATTTGTGTAGGAGTTTTTGTTTGGACATAGGCTTTCATTTCCCCTGGGCAGCTACTTAGGAGCGGAATTGCTCTGATCCCTGACCTTTATTATATTCTGTCCCTTTGGTCAGGGATCCAGGATCTTCTTCACCCTAGGCAGGCCCAACTACCTCATCCTTCAGGGCTCCCAGGGTAAGTCTGACTTCCATGGCTGAGTTAGGTCTTCTGTGCCACCCCACCTCCACCTTTTGCACTTTTCACAAAATAATACAATTACCTGGGACATGGGCTTGCTCCAGAGAGGCGAGGAACTTGAGGGGAGGGACTGTGCTAGGGTTCACCATTGTTCATCCCAGGACCTGCCCCTCCTGTGGCTCTGAAGCAAGGAGAGGAAAGGGATGCTGGGGGCCAGATCAATCAGGAAAGCTTCCTGGGGGAGGTGGGGCTGGAGCTGGGTCTAAGTATGCCTATAGATCGGTTTGCCCCGCAGCTGGGCTGAGGGTTTGAAGACTTCCGTGGAGGAAAGGTGAGGAGAGCTTGGAGAAAGGAAGGATGGATGGGAGACAGGCAGAGAACAAAGCTCAGAGCCCTGGGGTTTCTTAGTGGCCGCCCCTCTAAGGCTGCCAAATGCCTGTGACTCAGACTGGAGGGAGGTTCACAGGCTGCCCTGAGTCTCCTAGTTAACCCTCTCCTACCTGGAATGGAAGACCCACAACCCAAGTGCCCGGTCCTTGAGCCGCAGGGCCAAGGGCTTTGGACGGGGCCGCCAGATCTCCCACAATCTGGTTAAATGAGGCTCAGTCGACCGAGGCCATGAATTGGGGGTGGGGAGTGGTCTGCAGCAGGAGCGCCCGGTGACAGATGCATTTCTTAAGAATTGGAGCTTCTTCTAGGGTAAAAGAAGGCCTTCTCAGAAAGGGGGGACTCGGTGCTAGGGCCTCAAGGCCCCCTTAATTATGCTTCCACTAATTAGCCCCAGGCACTGTTGAAACTGTCTTTATCCTACCGTCTCTGCCAGAGAAATATGTGTCATCTTCTCAGTGTCTGGCGACAAGAAAATGCCGAGCTCTTTTACTACGGAAGGGGCGGGGGGGGGGGGCGGGAGAGAGACACTGCGGTCCTAGTGCTGCTCAATGCGGCCCAGAACCTAGCCCTGCGGTGTACCCCCCGAGGGCGCAGAGCGGGGTCCTGGGGGTCGAGGCCCCGGGCTGAGCCCACCCCTCGGTTCCCGCATCCGCGGCCGTGAGCGCACGGTGCTCGGAACTCGGAGGTGCCCGCGGCTCCGGCGAGGCCGGCCAGGGAGGGTGCGAACCAGCGGCGCTCCGATCCGCGGAGTCCCAGCCTCGAACGTTCGGACCCTCGGATTCCGGCCTCGAGCGTTCGGACCCTCGGGTTCCGACCCCGGGTGTTCGGCCCCCGCGGCGCCGAGAGCCCGGAGCGCTAGGGCGCGCCGGCCACGGACTCGGAGCCGCGGGCGGCGGGCGGGACAGCGCCCCCGGTCCGCCCGTGGGGAGCGCTCGCCCCTCCAGGAAGCGCCCGCCTCGCCTCCCCACCTCCCTCCCCACCCCCGCCCCTTCTCGGCCGGAGGGAGGAGCCCGAGCCGCCGCCGCCGCCGCCCGCCCCGGAGGAGAGCGGGACCCCGAGCGGCTGCGAGCGCACGCGAGCTGGCCAGGGCCGCGCGGACAGCGCCGTGAGTCCGTCCCGCGCCTGCGGGCCCCGCCGAGCAGGGGAGCGCCCCGGGATGCCCCGGCGGCCCGGAGCGCGGGCAGCGGCAGCGGCGGCCGCGCCGTGAGGGCGGCGGCGCCCGCGGGACCCGCGGTGAGTGGGGCCCGGGCGGCCCAGGGGCGGGCGGGGCGCCCTGGCGCGAGCGCTAAGTTCGGCCTTGGGGCTCGGCTTCTGGCGCCGGTGGCGGGCTGGAAGGAAGCTGGGTTCCGCCTCGCGGGCCGTAGCGCCCCGAGCCCCCGCCACCCGCGCGCACCCACGCTCGGGCGCTTGGGTGACTCAGCTGCGACCCGGCCACGCGGGGGCGCTCCGGCTGCGTCCCGGGGCAAAGTGGGGAGGGTGCGGGACGGTGGCGCCCCTCGGGGTTCGAGCCCAGCTGTTTAGGGACTCTCCTACCTTCCCCGGGAGCCTGGGGGCGTCGGGAAGGTAGAGTCCTCGACACCGTCGCAGCTGCCGAAGCCTTGGGGTCGGGATGGCCCCTGGCCCCCCGCACCCTGCTGTCAACCCCCAGTCCCCCCGCCCCAGCGCCCTGCCGGAGAGCCAGCTCCCAGCCCAGGAAGAGGGAATGAAGGGAGGGAGTGGAGCTGGGCAGCTTCCCAGAAGTCGAAGTGTGTTTGCAAACTAGTTTTTTCGCAAAAGCTGTCTGGCACCTTTGTGGTTAAGGGGGTGGGGTGGGGGGACATGGGGAGAGAGAAAGAGCGAAGCTCCTGATTCCTTTCCGTTTCCCTGCAGCCCTGCTTTTCTGAGACTAGAGGTGTCTTACTCCGCTCTTGGCATCCCATCCCATCCCTCAGCCCCGCCCTCTGCCCCCCCCCTTCTTGGACAAGCTCCTTGGAGAGGGGCTCCTTGGAAGGGGGCTGTGATTTGCCCAAGATCACAAGTGGGAACTGGACCCCGGGGCTCTGGTAGCCAGTTGAGGGCTCATCCGGCTGCCTGTGATTCTCCCAGCCCTGTTCTGTATTTGGGGAGAGTGACACCGGCGAAGGATCTGGGAGAATTATGAGCGGCCCTTTGTTTTGTCTGCCCTTAGTTTTTGCTTGCCTTAGGGGTGTGGGCTGTCACCCATGGGTGGAGTGCTTTTTCTGTTCCTTGGGGTACCCACAGCTTCAGTAACTGGGGGGAGGAACCCCTTTGTAACCTTCAGCAGCTGCAGCCTGCCTGTGGCCAGTCTTGCTGGGCAGCCTTGGGAGACCTGGGTCTGAATGTTCACCCAGCAGTGAGCTGCGGGGCCACTCTTCCCCCGCCCCCAGCCTCCCCGTGCTTAGCTGTAAAATGGGCTGATGGTCAAGGACCTGTGCGCCTGGAGGCTGGGTGCAAACATAAAGGAGTGGTTTTATTGCAATCCCTCTGATGTAGGGCCCAGTGTGCTCTGGTGTTGCCCCAGGCAGGCAGCCTCGCTGGCGGCGGTGGGAGGGGTCCCCCTTGACACCCCCCCCCCCCGCAGGTCTGGCCATGGAAAGAACCAGGGACTGAGAATGTTGACACTTGGATTCTCCTTGCCCTCTGCTACTTCCTGTTTGTGTGCCTTCTCACTCACTGGGCTCGGGGGTTTTTCCGTCTGTAAAATGAAGCAAACTATGACACATTACAGTTTATAGGGCTGCTGGGAGGCTGCAGCCGGGCACAGGGGTTCTGCAAAGTGGGGCGCGCTTCATGAATGGCATGTGTGGTGTTTCAAGGTACCCCCCCTCCCAGGGGCCATGAAAATTTAAAAACTCAGGGACAGAGGGCCAGGGATAGAGCCTCAGTTTCTATACGTGTAAAGTAGTAAGAACAATACTCTGTATACCTTTGTAATCTTTTAGGGTAATTGTGTATTTATTTCAAGGGAGTTGTGAGGATTAAATTAGGCAACAAAGGGCTCACGTGCCAGCACTGGGACTGGTCTGGTGACAAGCACTCGGTCACTGTTAACTGTCAGTATCGTTGTTCCTGGGAATACCCATCAGCCCGATGAGGGCATTTAGGATTCCTTCTGGGGTTTTCTCAGGCCAGGCTGCTGCTCCCTCTCCTGCATCCTCCTTGGAGAGAAGAGCCTCAGAAGCCTTCTAGACTGTTCAAAGTGCAGTGTCCTGAGTGGGAATGTTCCACCCCAGTGAGGAGGACACCATGAGGGATGGTAGATCCGACTGTCTTCCCATTCCCTGCACCTTGGGCTGGCCTCACAGGGCTCTAAGGAGTGACGGAAGAACAGAAGAACATTCTCTAAGAATTCCTTCACTCCTGTCAAAGCCGGGAGCATTGTCCCCAGGCAAGGTCTCCTACTGAGAAGCCCTCAGCCCAGGGCCAGGGTCCCAGCTGCCCGATGGAACTCCCCCCTTTTTCTCCCCCCCAACCCCCAACCCTTACAGGGGCTGCTGGATCAGGGGCAGTCATTTCAGGAATCCAGCTCCCTCTCCTTTGGAGAATTGGCCTCAGAAAGGGGGCAGGATCCCCTCCTGTCCTGCCCAGCCCCCCTGTAGGACACAGGATGGGCTCCTTGGGAGCCCGGAGGCTGGGTCACCCTAGGATCTTGGCAGGCAGCGGCTGGAGAAGAGGATGGCCATGTCCCACACCCACTGTCCAGAGGGAGACTCTGGGGCCCTAAGGGGAGTCACGGCTTCCTGAGGTCCTGTACTGCCTAAGAACAGGGTGGGGGTCTGAGGCGCCTCCTCGTTCTCAGCCCAGTGCCCTCACCCCTCTTTGAGCCACTCAGCCCCTGCTTCCGGGGTGGGAGTCAAGTGGACTGTGCTGTTCGGTGCTGTTTGGTGTTCTGGAGAGTTTCCCCACTAGCTCTGTCCTCACCTTCTTCCTCCAGGGTCTGAGATGAGGCTAATTAGCTGCTAATTGCTCACTCACTGGATATC